CGAGACCAGTTGGCAAACCTTGAACCCCTCAGGAAAACCCTCTTGATTGTTCCCTTTGGCCCAAGTCCCTTTTAGATCATCCTAGTCATACCATTGGGGACAATGGCACTTAAGTTGGGGAGTGAAGAGAGAGAGAGAGAGAGAGAGAGAGAAATTGAAAAGCTAAGCCTTTAGAAATGCAGAGCTAAAAAATTTACTAAGAAATTTTTAAAACTTTTCCATTAAAAGAGATTCCCAAACAGAAAAAGTTGAGGAAACTGATAAAAGAATATTGAATTTTGTAGAAATTGGTAGCAAGTGATAAGAATGCCAAAGACAATCACCTAATACTTAGTAACCGGGTCTCTTCACCTAAGGCAAGTGTCGAGATTTGTGCCAAACGGTAGAAGGTAGCAATAAAAATAAGTGTGCGTCTCAAGTTTAGGGGTAGAAATCCACTGTCAGAAATGATAATATCCGCCTGATTTTAAAAATCAATCTCAACTTATCGAGACAATCTGCAAATGGAAGGGTATATAAGATTTTTTAAGCCAAGTTTCTATAATGTTTAAAACAAGACAGTTTTACCCCTTTAGCTCAATACATCCGATCTATACAAAGTTTGAGAATTCTAAAATCAAGATACTTGGCTAATTTTGTCAAAGATGATCTGTCAATGGGAATGATTTCTTTACTCAGTGTAATTTTAAGGCTGCATTGCTAACGGACTAGCAATGGTTAAGTTGGGGGTGTGATAACTTTGTAGTTTGATGCCTTAAGGGCCTCATTTTAAGGGTATTTTAGGCCTTAGAATAGTCAAAATGTCCCATTTTCCTAGTTAAATTCAATATTGTGACCTTTGAGGGTTTCTATGCAAATCTTGGGGAAAACTGGGGAAGTTTCAAGGCTGAAATGCAGTTTTTGGGAAGCTGGTGTAAAGGCCAGAAGAGAGAGGGGGTGTTTTTGTGAAAGACTGAGCACAGGAGGGCACATCCTATCTACTAAACCCAGAATGGCCCCCCTCCTACTGTATTAGCATACTCCCCTCTCCTTAGCAAACCCTAGGGCGCCTTTCCACTCCTCCTTTTCATCCTTACCAAACCCTAGCCGCCCCTAGCTACTTAATCTCCACCTCCCATCTCTTCCAATCTCCATTTATTCTATGGCACTCTCTTTTTATCTTTCTAACCCTAGGGCACCCATATTTTTGCTAAAACCCAACTGTTGCCCCCCTCTTTCTCTCTAATCCCAGTTTTATCCACCCTTCTCCATAAAAAGGACCCAAGGGCTCCTGAGAATGGGTTAGATTCTGCCCCAGGTAAGACGGAAGGCTGATCATGAGAAGTTCAAGGATAGAAGTGAAGGGATGAGAGATCCATCATATGGATGGCTGAACCCAGCAGGAAGGTTGGGCAAAATTTCAAAAATTTCTCTCTCCCATCTAGAAATCGCATTCCCTATTTTAGAAAACTGCATTTTCAAAGATCAATCTTGAACCAAAACCGGACCAGATCTAAAACAAAAAGAGAGGAGAGGGATATACCTGATACAAAGTAGCAGTAACTCCTAATGAAGGTGTTCATGCCCAAGGAGAAAACCAAAATCTGCTTCCACTGAATATGACACAGTGTACAGTGAAGCAGGATCAGTAGGATGACTCTTCAGCAAGAACCGAATTCTTCAGCAAGAATGGAATAGATGGCTACTGATCACGACTTTAGATTGCTTCTTTTGCCAATGAGAAATATCAAGAACAATTCTTGATCACTCCCACAAGTGGAGATCGAACTGGGTAGGGGTGGCAAGAGCAGGGAGGAACTCTGCAGATTGTTGTGTTGTGTGTAACTGAGGAATTCCAATCTATCTCCAAGGTCCAGGGCAAGACTGGAATTTTGGTCTGGTTTAGGATTTCAAGGAAACCCACACTGCATGTACCTCAGGTCTCACCCTGGTAGCTGAGACAAGCCACCCCAACCAACTTAGCGGCACATCAGTGTCAGCCTTGGTAGGATAAATCTCTCCAGATCTATTCAACAACTATGAAGATTCTAAACAAACACGAGTCTCATAGGTGTCCAGTTTAAGGGTATTACACAGAAACATACCAAAACACATGAATCAATTATGTACATTCATTTACAATAAATGTCATCAAGTACATCAATGTGATTGGAGCTAAGGGCATACAATGTCTTACAGCTCCCACTTGCACCTAGGTCCAATCGGGTATAAGCCGGAGTCCCATACTTTCCACGTGTTTCTCAAACACTTTGTGTCAGTGGCTTAGTTAATCGGTCTGCTACATTTTTGTTGATGCTACCTTCTGAATCAAGACGTCCCTTCTTCCAACTATCTCCTGCAGTATATGGTACTTCCTCTTGATGTGCTTCGACTTCGAGTGGGCTCGTGGCTCCTTAGTCTGAGCAATGGCTCCAGTGTTGTCACACAACAATGGAATAGGTGATGTGCTTGATGGAACTACTCATAATTCCTGAATGAACTTCTTCATCCAAACGGCTTCCTTGGAAGCTTCACTTGTAGCAATGTACTCGGCCTCGGTTGTGGAATCTACCGTGGACCCCTGTTTGCTGCTTTTCCAGCTAACAGCACACGATCCTATCGTGAAGATATAACCAGATGTAGACTTTCTATCATCTGGATCCGACTGGAAATCGGCATCAGTATACGCCTGGATCTGTAGTGAACTACCATTGAATACCAGACAAAACTCTTTTGTCCTTTGAAGGTATTTTAGTATGTTTTTCATAGCAGTCTAATGTTCCTGCCCAAGGTTAGATTGGTACCTACTTACCACACTTACAGCCTGAGAAATGTCAGGACAAGTGCACAGCATGGCATACATGATGCTCCCTACACCAACTACGGTACTGCCTCGGGATGTGAGCCACTTGCTTAATGGGCATAAAACCCATGATTAATTGGATTAATCAAATAGTCACATGACAGCTTAAGCAGTCATATGACTTGGACGAATCATGGGCATAAAACCCATGATTAATTGGATTAATCAAATAGTCACATGACAGCTTAAGCAGTCATATGACTTGGACGAATCATGGGCATAAAACCCATGATTAATTGGATTAATCAAGTAGTCACATGACAGCTTAACTTAAAGAATCCAAATCCAAATAAATATTTGGTTTAGGAACCTCCTAATTCAATTAGGAGTGGTGATCCTTAAGGCTAAGAAAAGAAGAGATCGAATCTACTCCAGATAACTCTGCTCTCATGTCTCTCTCTGTTCTCGTCGCCCCAGAAACCCTAATTCGACCTCCAGTTCTTGAACTGATCTTGATCAGTTCTGACTTCTGATTTTTGCAAGAAAATATCAGAACCAATTCATGCTCACCTCCCTTGTTCGACCCAAGGTGTTGGATCACAGTTTTGCTGAAAACTGTGTTGTTGAACTGACTTCAATGCAAACTGCACCATCTTCAGTGGAAACTGGTCTTGGAACTTTATTGGGCATGAACTACCACTTTGGGAGCTACATTTGTGGATTCCGTATCAGGTATACTTCTCCATTTCTTTTGGTTTCAAAACGGGTCCAGTTTTGATGCAAGAACAACCCTAGAAAAATGCAGTTTTTCTAAAACTAGGAATACGATTCCCAGAAGGGTGAAAGAAAATTTTTGAAATTCCGCCCAGCCACCTAGCATGGTTCAACCATCCATATGATGGATTTCCCCTTCAAAACCGAAATACCGAACCAAAATTTTTTGTTTCAATTTTTTTTGTTCGGTTTTTTTAGTTTTGAAGTAATTTGGTTCAGTTAGTTTGGTTTTTAGGAATTTTGGTTTTTGGTTTCAGTTTTCGATTTTCAAAGTTAGAAATTTGGTTAACCAAAAAATCCGAATTAACCAAAATTCATTATATAATAATGTAATATATAATATACAACATATAACATATAATATATAATATGCTATATATTTATATATTAATATATTATATATAATGTATTATAATTAAATTCAATTTCATAATATATATTATAGGTTATAATACATAATATTTTATATATATTAATTAAATTCAATTTTTAACAAAAATAACCGATAACCGAACTGATTTTTTCGATTCGATTTTCATCTTTTTACTTCGATTTTTAAAATTTTGGTTTATTTGGTTCAGTTTTTAACCAAATAAACTAAATGCTCACCCCCAAGAACATCATTGGCAAGTAGCAAGTGCGAAATGTAAGGAGCTTCTCTACTCACTATAATCCCCAAGGTTTTTAAAACAGAACCGGACAACAACCCATTCAGGGGTCCAGTTCCTGGGTCAAATGGTCCGACCGTTCAAACCGAATAGATGGTCTGTTCTGACAAAAAAATTAAGAAAAATAGAAAAACGACCAAAAATCACTGGACATTTCAAACGGTTTGACCGCCCAGGTCAACGATTTGCTGACCAAATCAACGGTTTTTAGCTAAAATGATGGTTCTAAGGTAAAAAGGAACCAATCAGGTGACCCATTCCCGGTTTTTCCAATCCGACCGTCAGGTCCGGTTTTGAAAACCATGATAATCCCCATTAATTTATTTTCCTCATTTGCTTTCAAAAAATACTGATGCATTCATACAATCTCGGTATAGATGAATGATATGGCAACTAATTAAGAAGCAATCTATCCACTCTTGCCCATACCATCTTGGCACGTGATACCGAACTCTTTATTTCACTAGGATACCATTGATGTATTTACCAATTATATCAACTGCTCAAGGGTCATTCATAATGGATGAAATACCAGTCATCCATGATCCATCCACGATATTGTATTATTCTTAACAAACTGACTTGTATAGAATCTATAGATGACAAAAGATATTTAGTCGCTTATTTTCATCGGCTCAAATATGGTATTTGCCCCGCATGCAACACCATAAGCCTGATATCAATTTAAACAGTTCTCCCCATCCAGAGAACACAAGTAGAAAACGATAACTTCACGGGGGAGGGCGGCCAGAAGAAATTAGAAGTTTAGAACAATGGAAAACAGAAACACAAAAAGGAACTGAAATATGGGGGAAAAAAACCCTACTAACCGGTACAAACTCCTTGAAGTCAAAAAAAAAAAAATCAAAATAACACAAATACATGTGCCAAGCCACAGCACTCAAAGACAATTCAGGTAAATCCATTCCTTGGCTGCTATACAAAACCATCTTCAGCTTCCAATGGCAACTACAAAGCTTCTATCCATAAACCACATCTTTAAAACACCAACTTTACTTGTACCATCAACAATCCGTCCCAGAATGCACGTCAAATTCACCATCTTCATCACCGAGCTTGTATCCACTGAAGTGATTGACCCTGAACTTCCATTCCCCTTTGACAGGGTCATAGGACACAAACTCTGCACCTTGGTCTCGGGCCTTCTTCACTAGCATCTCCTTGTACTTTTCTACTCTTGGCCCTTCTGTATACTGCTTTCCTGTCTTTTTGTCGAAGCATTTTATGTTGAGAAGAGTTACTTCAGCAGGTTTGTTAAGGCCTTGTCCTACTGGTGGCTTCTTGCTTTCATCGAGATATACAATCACCTCCCGATTATTAAACTGGACAAGGGATTCAAGATCAAGCCGTCTTACATCAGTCTCACCCATGAACTTGATGCTGCCATAGCCATGCCTTCCAATCACAAAATCTTTCACCCGGCGGCAGAACCCTGGCTCGGCCCTTTCCTTGGCTGCCAGCTCTTGGATTCGGGGTTCTGTGTAGTAATCAAAATGTCGGAGCTTTGGCATCAGTGCCTCGATGTCTGCACCATGCTCATATACAATTGCAGCCTCACCAGCTCTGTGCCCAGTTAGTGTTATGTATGATTCCCCCCTTTCTATGTTATTATCATCATGTGAGCCATTTGGCTTCTGATTTATTTTGACTTTGACTGCACCATTTTCAGCAAAATTCTCTGCATTAAGTTTAAAAGCAGAAGAATAAATAAGACACTAATAAACCAAGCCATTTAACGATAAAAAAACAAGTGGAAAGAACAAAAAACATGAAACATTAAAATGTATAACCATTCATGAGGTCAGCATAATATCACTGCACCAATGAATACTACACCTTGACACCCATTACTTTTCCTTCCCATAGTTCAATTATTAGTAGGTAAAAAAAAATTGAGGGGGCAAATTTCCCTATTATAGTGTACTTCTCAAAAAAGCACAAAAACAAACTAGTTGTATTACTTCAAGGAATCACAACTGCGGAAATAATTAGATGTTTTGGGGTTTGCATCTCTTCGAACACCATGCAATGGCTAAAACATTTATATAAAATTCACCTATATATTGCACATAGTATTAGAAATTTGTGTAACATAAATGAATATATATTAGCTATTAACTAATACAATGAATTATTTTCTGAATTGACATATAACTGCCTTTTATCTGTTTTTTTTTGTACAATAAAGAAAAAACAGAAATTATGCTCCATATGAGGTATCCTTTTTTTGTCATTTTTCAGTTGTCCTTGTTAACTTCATAAAATTTTCAGTTCCATTTTCTTTCTCTAAACTACTTCCCATGCGAATGAAGTGAAGTTCTGCCAATTAATGTTACTCCTACATACAGTTTTAGCCAACATTTTTTGACTTGTGGAGTGGCAGCTCTTTACTTGTATATTAAACTTTATTCCTTATTAATAATTTTTTTCCATCAAAAAGAATCACCCTACACCCACAAGAAAGTCGGATGTCTGGTCAATCCTTGGGACTAGGGAAGCTTGCACAGGAACACCGTAAAAATAACAAAAGTTAACATCTTGCAGACTAAATTTTCATTCATTTTATAATACCTTCTGCACTCTTTTTTCTTTTGGCTTGTAAAATGAAATTTTATTGATTGAGATAAAAGAAGTATTGTGTTACAAAAGCTTGCACAGGAACACTGTAAAAATAAACAAAAGTTCACTTCTTGCAGACTAAATTTTCATTCATTTTATAATGCCTTCTGCACTCTTTTTTTCTTTTGGATTATTGTAAAATGAAATTTTATTGATTGAGATAAAGAAGTATGTGTGTTACAATCCCAGATGTTAGGCTCCATTGATTTTATAATCAAAATATAACTACATTGTAACACCACAAAACAATTTTTCCCTGTTAACCCCCTGCTGCTAGCCAGTGAATATGCTACAAAATTCGCTGATTTATGCTTCCAACTCCACACCACTCCCATTTCTCTAGCCAGCTGTTTAGCTTGACTTAAAGTGTGCCAAAATTGCCATGTACCCTGAGAATCATTTTGAAACCACCCTATCACAGTTTTGGAGCCTCCTAACCTCTTACAGATCTTTAGTCATTGCAGAAGCACTTATATTTCTGCTCTTGTGGAATCTCCTATTCCAATTGGCCCTGAAAAAACCGCAATTTATGAACCTGAATTGTCCCTAAGAACTCCAATAATACCAAAGGGTCCTGGATTTCCAATGTTGCATCCATCAAAGTTGAGCTTAAATTGTTTCATGGCTGGCGGACAACTGTATGTATAATTGTATTCTTTATACATTTTACCTTACAATTGCATTAAAATAATCTGGGGCAAAAATGTTCAGATGTCTACCTAATGCCTCTCAAGCATCAATGACAAACTCTCATTCTCAGCCAATGCACAAGTAGAATCTAAAAAAAAGAAGTTTATGTCCTCTCACTTTGCACCTTTTTTTTTATCAGCATCTCGCTTTGCACCTTTCAACTCAATGCTTTTATTTAGAACCAAATTAAGAACTAAAGAAGCAAACAAACAACTTACTAACAGGAACAATAACACAAAATAGAGGATAAAAAACAGCACACAAACACACAAAGGGTGAGAACTGAACATCTTAGGAGCATAACGAAGTCAAAAGCACTTACTATCTTTATCCTGGGATATAAAGCCATTTGTGGAAGGAGCAGACACCTCTCCAGATGCTTTTCCTGAATGATAGAGTATTGTGTCAAAACAAAAAGGACAAAAGAAAGGCAGTCAGGTATGGATCTTAAGAGTATCCCATATTCTTAAGAAAATTGTAGTTAAAAGTGAGAACATAGGCCATTTCTGGTTGATCAGAATACACAACAATTAAGTTAAGAAAACAGAAACAATTTTCTGACATATTATTAGAATGCCTCTATTCAGCCCTATAAGTTAAGAATATGGAAACAATTTTCTGACATTTTATAATTAGAATGCCTCTGTTTGGCCCTCAGAAAATATAGGTCACACAAACTTTCTTAATTCCATTGAATTATCGAACACTAAGTAATTAGTTCTTATTTGTCAAAAAAAAAGTAGTCATTTCTTTTGTATAAAATCTATTGAAAAAGGCAAAAAGGAAAAAGAAAAAACCTACAAATACAGCTGGTGGAAACCATCATTAAAATTTTCATATTACAAAATGGTGACTGAAAATCAGTGAGGTTCACAAAATAATTTTTTAAATCTCAGTTAGAAACTGCTGTTTTAACATTAAAATGGTTCAAGTAATTCAGAGAAAATTAAAATATTTTCTCAGATTTCTGACAATTGACAGTCAAACAATTGTCAGAAATCTCAAGATAATAAACTGGGATATGCCACCCTCAACATAATCTCCATTCTTGGAATTCCAGACCAAAGCATGCTAGTACCACATGAATAAAATCTGAGGAAGTCAAACCCCAGACCTGGGATTCATCCCCATCTCTAAACACTCCCCCAATTCCTGCTAGGCCCAGATTGCACAAAGAGCTTCCTTTAAAAAATAGTTTAAACCTGTGACTTGCCACCGGTTGCCACTCCATTATAGCCTTCCCCTTTACTTTAGAAGAGTTTGAAACTTCACCCTATGCTCTTAAAATATCATCCATCAAGAAAATCTCTAAAAGCCTCCAGAGTTTTCACCCAATGCACAACCTTTATCTTTATGTTCTCCACTATTTCTTCTATGGAGCTGGTTTTTTATCTCTGAAGATTCTTTCATTTCTCTCCTCCCATACCACACATAATGTTTCTGCCCTTAGCCCATTACTACCCTTCACATTATCCTACCTTTTTTCTTAGGCTGCCTTATGAAGTTCAAACTGAACAAGCTTGCCACATTTTGAAGAGCTTCCCACCCTGACATCCCAACCATTGAATGACAAGATATGTTTTGGTTGGCCACCCTTTTGTCTAAGAAAATACATTAATTCTTTTTATATACTTCTCTCCTTTTTATACACTAGCAAATGTGCACATGCATTGCACATGGCAATTTCAGATAACAATAATAATTTCAATATCTTTATTAGAACCCATTAAAAAAGATAAGTAACTAAAACATGGTGTGCTGGTGGATTTAAATTTTGTAGTTTATTTCCATTGTTAATAAAAATACTTCTTATTTATCATATTTGTTTTTGTTTAGGGAAATTGTCTAAAACTCACAACTTTTCAAAATGTCTAAAACTCACCATGTTACTATTTTGACGTTAAAGAGACTAACTGGTGTTAAATATTACCATTTTAACCTTCATAGAAAAATATAAAATGTATACAAAATAAATTAACGGGTGTTAATATATTACCACTTTAATATTTAGACAGGAAAAAAAAAGGAAAAAGTTCAAAAATATTTTCAAATATAAAATACATAAAAACATAGAAATTATAAAGAAATATAAAAAATTACAGAAAATGTAAACAAAATAAAAAACCAATTTTCAAATTATAGAAACTATAGAAATTGAAAAACAAAACCAACAAATAAAAATTGTAGAAAAAACACCAAAAATTATAGAAAAACACAGAAATTACAAATAAATAACAAAAAATACAGGAAAATTTATAGATTGTACAAAATAGAAAATGTAAAAAAACAGAAATTATAAAAAACATTGGAAATTATAACAACACTAAAAATGCAAAAAAAAAACAAGAAAATTGAAAACTGAAAAAGACCATTTTTCCTCTAACTCGCCATTCAAGGGTAATTTGGTCATGAAAATTGTTATTTATGCTGACATGGACACCTCTGTTAAGAAGCATTAACGGTGCACTAACGGAAGGTGAGTTTTGGAAAATAAAAACTTAGTGGCAAGGTGAGTTTTAGACATTTTGAAAAGTTGTGGTGAGTTTTAGGCAATTTCCCTTTTGTTTAATATGATATTATGATAAACATATAATATTAGAGGTTTGCACAATTTTTTTGACAAATTTCCTTATTTTCTATAATTTGTTATTTCCATCTACTTTTTGAGTTTTTATAATGTAATAATAATTATGACATCATGTTTTAACCTATTTGACTTGAAAGAGAAAACAATCTCATTTTTGGAAAATTTTAAATTTTCTATTCTATTTCCATAATTAATTTTAAACTATTCTTGTTTATCACACATTCACACTTATCTTTGTTTAATATGACAAATTTATAGTATTTTAGATATGTTAAAATTTTCTATAAATTTTCTACACTTATATTTCTGTAATTCTCTCTACTTTTATTTTTTATTTTTTATTTAATTATGACATTATTGGTTGACCCATTTTACACAAATAATTGGACTGTTAGGGTCAATGTTATGCAGGTTAGGCTGAGTTTGTGCTCAACCTAGGCCCAACCCTATGCTTTGGGACTAAGGCTCAAGCCCAAGTTCAAGCTTGATCTGCCCATGGATTAGGTTTGGGCTTGGATTGGTCAATCATCCCTATGGTAAAATTTGACACAAAATTATGTGTATATGTATACATATATAAAAATATTTGTCCACATATACATGTATGCAAGTATGTATATAATCAGGCCAGGCTCAAGATAGTGAGATACCTAAGGCTAGGCCTGGTCGCAACTCAAAAAATAAAAGAGCCCAAACTCAGCCCAGATCCAAAAAGCCAAGCTAGTTTATCTAAAACTGCATGCTGGATTGGTAGCCCAGATTGAGCCTGCGCAGTTTACATCTATATGGGTCACTAACCACCAATTAAATGGAAACTTTCTTCGAGTTAGTTTAAATTTTTATTCTATTTCAATCATTAACGAAAATAACTCTGATTTATCACACTTATTTTTGTTTAATATGATGAAATACATAATATTAGAGATGCACCCAAATGTTTTCTATGAATCTTGTATTTTTAATATTTTTTGCCTCTATCTTTTTTAAAATTTTTGTTATTTTATTATCACAATGTGGGTCAACCAATTTGACATAAAAGTTTGAGCCATTGACCCACCAGTTGAATATGAAAATAGTTTTATTTCAGCATGAGTTTCATCTCATTTTCAAAATAAAAAAGATTTAAGTTTTGTATTTCATTTCCATCATTAATAAAAATACTTGTTGTTTATCATACCTAACTTTGTTTAACATGATAAATATATAATTTTAGAGATATGCCTAAATTTTTTTGTAATTTTTGTATTTTTTATTTTTAAATCTTTATTATTTAACTATGAGACTATCAGTTGACCCATTTGACCTAGATAGTTCAACTATGTACACTGCACATGGACAGGACAGTTTAGTTTTCAAATTGGGTTTGAACACATAGGTTTTGTATTGTTAAAATTATTGCCTATAGATTTAATTAGTAGAATTTGTTGGTAAAAATCAAAAATACTTCAAAAGGGATCTAAGGAGGGAGAATGGGAGATAACAACTTAATGAGAAAGAATTGAATGAGTGAAAAGTAATAGTTTAAATTACAATGTATGCCCTCACAGTTAGAGAAAGACCAAATTCAAAAGTAGGGGTATTTTAGTCAAGAAAAGTCCACAAAACTTATTTATTTAATATACAGTAAATGTAGGATTGAATGAGAGGGGATGGGAGTTAATGCCTTAAATATAAAACTTAATAAGAGGAAATGGAATGAATTTAATATAAATAGTATATCAAATTACATTTTTGTCCTTATAATAAAGAGAGACTGAATTCAACAAAAGGAGTACTTTAGTTGAGAAATTTTCCAAAATTAGACCTCATTCCCACTTTTAATAGTAATATAGGTATAGATTTACCAACCCAAAATTAAAACTTTACCTAATTTCGACCTTACCTCTTATTCTTCTTTTGCCATTTTGCTTATAATAATTATGCTACCACTGCTTCATACATGCTGAGCAGTTGATTTAATTTGACCTCTAGTAAAAAGAAAAATCAGTATTTTTCATGTCCAAACAGTTACTTGGATACCCTTGTTTCACATTGGACTGGTGATGGTTTAGATAGATAACAAAAAGCTAATGGAAGTGACAAGGGAAACCGGAAAGGATGAAGTGGTCATAGTTAAAGATGGCCATGGTAGCTCAGCTTATAAGGGCCAGTTGTCTAGACATTTAATTATGGTTAGCATCTTTTATTCTGCACCTTGGTGATTGGAACAGGTGCTTCCAAGATATTTAGCTTTGTATAGAACCATTTTACATATAATGATTATCTTTCTTAATCAGTTACCTTACTCTTGAAATAGATTTGCTCTTTTGTCAAGACCACTTACTTTGCTGTAATCTATCAGATATTAGTGCCTTTTCAATTGGGCTTACAAATTATTTTATCATTAATTCATAGTTGTTTTTTGTCTTCTCTTTCTTTTCTTTTTTTTTTTTTTGATCAGTAAAACAGAAGAAGCTTTTATTGATATAAAAAAGAATTTACAATAGTGAGCAGCCTCAGCTACCCTTGTAACAACAACAAGAAAACAGTAAATGCCCCAGAGTTCAGGTCTTTAAATTACAACCATGCCCAAAAGGTCTATTGCTTTTTTCTTTTGTTGAATGCATGTTTTCACTTAAGAGAAGATAAATTTTCTTCCTCTTTCCAAAGAAAATTTCAGCAGCTTTCCTGCAGTCTAATTGGTCTTTGCTTATACTTCTTACTTGGATAACCAAAAAAATTGCTATCACTAAGCACAATTTGATGTCATGCGTTATTCTTTTGGTTGTATAAAGCCAAAGTAGCCTATTAAGAATGTAAACTGCAGGCTTGGCTTTCTAATGGTGTTTTCTTTCTTGCTTTTCAAATATTGGGTTCTTCATTGTAGAAAACAATATTCAAGTTTTATGAATTTCTTTATTGGTAAGTTTGATGAATTGTTCCTGGATACAAATGGAGAGTTTACCTATGTTCCTATTACATGTCTTAATGGGATTATGTGAGACCAAGAAGGCCGTGGAAACACTGATATGCTCAAATCATATGTGTGTGCACTTCTCATTCATGATCAATACTGCATCATGTATATCTAGTTGGGTGCAGAGACCAAAAAGAGAAAAGATTACCATTTTCCTCATGGAGAGAGCCATTCGCCTCCTTGAGTAAAGACAATTTCTCTATACTGGTTCTTGAGGGCCACTGGTCTGTGGGCCGAATAACTAGTGCTCTTGGATTTTCTCTTGGGATAAAAAGAGCATCCGCCTTTGGTGTGCCAGGCACCTCTTCATCATCACCAAAAAATGGTACCTGCATAAGGAGAGCAATTAGAGTTTTTATTTTTATTTTTTGCAGTAATATCTTCCATACCTGGAACAGGATCCTAAAAAACAATAAACTCAAGTTGGGGATGAATCCGATGAGCTACATTATCAAAATAATATCACAAAAATCTTCTACCAAGCTTCCTCAACCAAGTTCTTACCTTTGGACCATCACTTTTTGGATGATACTTCCTTGCTGGCAACCGAATCCTTCTTTGGGACAAGTGTCGAGAAGTTAATAATGAGGAAACTCTAACTGGAGTAGGTTTATCAGCAACCTGTTTGGGAATAATGTCAAGTCAAATGAATTAAGCAAGGAAACACTACATGAATATGGCACATGGGCATAGAGCTTATGCACCAGATCTACATTTTACTTTTTCTGTACATCCTTCTAAGTTTGTTAACAAAACTTTTGATAACTCATCAGTGGATCTACTAAATAGAAGCCTTGTGCAGTGGATCTACTAAATAGAAGCTAATAAGAACATTCCTCATTAGTATGTCACCAAGCTGGTGTTTCCTTTGCAAAGCNAAGCCTTGTGCAGTGGATCTACTAAATAGAAGCTAATAAGAACATTCCTCATTAGTATGTCACCAAGCTGGTGTTTCCTTTGCAAAGCTAATGGAAAAGGCTTTAACCATCTACTAATCTCCTGCCCTTTTGTTGTAAGCCTCTAGTAAAAGAATTTTTATCTTTCTGGATGCAGGTGGGCAGTGCCTCTGCAGATTGGTGGACTCTTCGACCCAAGTAACTTCAGGTGGGGGAGAGTGTTGTGGAGATGTGCTAGGGCTGCTTTGGTATGGATATTTTAGGAGGAAAGAAATTCTAGGATCTTTAATGATAAAGAAAGGGATGAGGCTACTGTTTGGGTTTGCATTTTGAACAGGGCTATCAATTGGTCTAAAGCTTTGGGTATTTTCTCACAATTCTCCTTTGTTGACCTTTGGAGAAACTGGGAATTGATTGCTAAATCTTCTTTGGTCAAGGAAGAGCCCATAGTAGCTTGGAAGCCCCCTGAAGAAAGCTTTATCAAGCTAAATTTTGATGGTAGCAGCCTTGGTAACCCTGGGCTCAATTGTAATCTTGATTTTTTTTTGAGGCTGCAAGCTCACGCTTCTTTATGGACTTTTTATGTTGTATCCTTTGATGGTTCTTATTTGATCTTTAACAGAATGCTTCTTATTTTATTTATAAAAAAAGGCAAATATAGCACATCATGCACTAGCGAAACAAAAGTACATTCCCCAATATAATATTCTATAGGATCAATCAAGACCTTATTACATAAAGACCAAATTATATTGTAGGCAAGCTATACCGGAATGCTCGAAATCCCATATTGAATTGAGGGTGCAGAGCCAGAGCAACCAATAGATACTTGAGGCATTGCAGGTAGAGTTCCAAACGGATTGGAAACAGGTGCTGGTTGCACAGCAGCAGTGCTCTGAGTTGCAGACCTGTTAAAGATATAAATATGAGCCAATTTGAATCATTCAATCAAAAAGACATGAGAACCAAACCATGCAACATAATACAGAAAAAAGAAAGAAAAATAGTAGGTCCTATTGTAAGCACACTTGAGTCATCATCATCTAAGCCTTCTCCCAACTATATGGGGTCAACTACATGAATACTGTTTTGCTATTCTGTTCTGTTCAATGCCATATCCATCATTAAATTATTAGCACTTAAATCATTTCTTATTACTTCCACCCAAGTCCTTTTTGGTCTGCCCCTAGCTGGCTAGCTCTTCTAGCCCCTTCAATTTTAACAGATCACTTTTCTAACAGATCATCTATGCACGTGACAAAATTATCTCGGCCTACTTTCTCTCATTTTATCACCTATTGAAGTTACTCCTAGGAACTATGGCTTCATTTCTAACCCCCACCTTTCTAGTTTCTCCATATTGTAAGCACATTTAAGTGTTTTACACTTTTCCCTTCAGATATGATCTCATTGGATTAGTAATACCAAAGGAAACAACTTTCCATGTACCACTAACACCATAGAGATACATAAATACAATTCACCCAACAAAAGGCATGCTGACAATCTATAACACCAGTAAGAAGAACTAACTTATTGCAAGTTGAAGGATCTAGAAGAAAGGTACAAACCAAAAAGGACATGGATTGCTATGGGTTGCAGTAATGAGATTGAAAGAGATGAATTGCAAGGTGTGCTTCAAGAGTTAAAAATTTGTAAAATGCTAAACCTGAAAATATAGAGATGCAGCGATAGGGTGGCTTAAAAACAATGTAGCAGCACAAGGTATACTTTGAGACACACTATACATAGGAGTGGCATGCTTGTGGACACACAGAGCAAGCAAACAGCGTAGCAGTTCACTAGCAAGGCAAGGGATGAATAGGGAAAGTTTATGCTGGGGTAAACTTTTTTTTTTGGGTAAAAGTGCTGGGGGTAATCATGGACTTGTTTTTTGCCTTTCTCCAAACAGTGTAGCCAAACCCCATATGGAAATTAAAAATATATACAAATATCCTTCAGTTAGGAACTAAGGATTCCACACATCCCACAATCAACAATCCTACTATACAAGTTGCATTGTAGGCCACCCATAATTCAACTATATCAAACTAAAAGATCATATCTTATGGTGAAACTGATCAATTTGGTGATTCTAACCACCTGAACTAATGTAACTTTTTGGATGGCTAAAAATTAGATACTGGTCAAGAGAGAGTAGAAAAAACAAAGAACATACGATTGCCCAAAGGTACCCTGACCAAAAATGCTTGATGCACCACCAAAGCCACTTGAAGCTGCTGAAATAGAAAGAATTGGAACTGTAAGCTAAAAATAAATTAATATGGAAGATGGAGAAGCTATATTATCTTAAAATACCTGTTTGTGTCTGCCCAAAGCTTCCAAAGGAAAATGCCCCTGTTGTCTGGGCAGGTTGTGCTGACTGAAAAGGAGTAGAAAGAAGAGGCTGCAAATAAAGAGAATATAAAACAAAACCAAATTTACTGAATGCATAACAAGCAAAAAGATAACCTTTAATCAGATTATAATAATGAAGAAACCTAACTGAGATTAAATAAAGTGTAGACTGTGACAAGAAAATTGTTGGAATATAAGAATAATCATCAAAGAGATTGCAAAATGATTTTGGTCATGTCATTGATAGACAGTCTTGTGGCATTATTAGTTGGGTTATGCTTATCATATGTTTCTTTTTTTGGTGAGAAAGGTATTGTATTAATGTCAAAAAAGAATAGACCATATACATCCATATGATAGCATGACCATACGGCTTGATAGCAATATATTAACAAAGAAACAAAGTGTCCTTATCAAAAAACCTGCGGTAACCCAGCCCTTTGAACTTATGAGATGACATCCAAGAGCAAAGCACTCCTTTGATATTGCATAGCGGGACCTGATTATCTGAGCTTAAGCTCTTTAAGATTTGGGAATTCCTTTCTCTCCAAATACCCCAAAAGAACAGCAATTGGAATTTAAACCCCAAAGGACTTTCCTCTTTTTCTCAAACCTTTCAAATGCCAACTCCTAAGGAGGGAGAGGATAGAGGATGGAAAGCAACCAATCCAACCAAATGATTCAAGAACCACACTCCACACCTTATTTACAAACAGGCAGTATAAGAAGATATGATTGGTTGTTTCCAAGTTCCAACTCAGCAGAACAAAAAAGACAACCAATCTGATCCAGAACCATCTTCCTATTTAGAAGATTATCATTAAGTAGCCTTTCCTCAAGGCAGCTGTCAAAACAAAGAATTTAACCTCTGAGGGAGCACTGTTGTGCCAAATCCTGATTGCAGGAAAGTCATTAGGGAACTCCCCAACTGTTCTCACCATTCCACCTTCTAGAGTCCTGTGAACCCAATTGAGGAGAATGAAGCTGGAGCAGCCAAAGCATTACCATCAATTGATCCATCTCCCAATCATTCAAATTCCTTCTAAAAGTTGGGAACCAATTGACGGCATCATTAGAGAGAATAGCAATCTCTAATCAACACCTCCCTATCCTGAGCAGCCATGAATAATGCCAGGAAAACATCCATGCTTATCATATGTTTGCTCATACTAGAAGAGCCAATCCTTTGAGCTGAAATACCAACTTGTTTGAACCTACATTTTTCCACAAGTTTCTTTTTTTCCTTTTATTGGTAACTAATTTTTTCCCAGGTTTGGGGCTAATATAACCATTTAACATTAAAATCCCTCCTTCAACCAATAGTAAATTTAAAAGGTTTAAAAAAATAATCCTTCAACATGAACTGAATCAGAAACTAGCTCACCCTCAAGTCAGCCAATCCAGCCACACAGCCCACACCCAGTCCAACTGGGACTTTACCACATCCCACAAACAAAAAATGAATAAATAAAGCAAGAAAAAAAAAGAAGGCAAAATAGAATAAAAAACAAATAAATCAGTGATTATTCTGTAGCCAGGAGATAATACCGACCCTCATTAACAAAGTTTCTGATAACTGTACGTGTACCAAATGGAAAATTTGCTAAACAGTAACCAGAATGTACCATGTACCCTGACAGGGGATGGCATTATTACACAGAGGTGCCTGAATTTTGAAATATGCAATTACTGAAACACCTTCAACAACCACACCCTGTGCGTCAACAGTAACCCTCTTCAGGGTGCACAAGCCCCCTGATTGCCTACATAGCAAATTCAATATGGTGAATGATACAGCATACTCGAACTCAATTATCAGGTCAGGTGCAAATAGAGGTTTCCCAACCTCACCATCTCAGCCCCTTTCTCATATGCAGCATCAAGCAGAGTAGGAAATTTAGAAGATGTTATTGATAAACATATTGCATAAAGGACTTACAGTTGTTTGACCAAAACCCAATGGAGTGCTTGTAGAAGGCATTGATGGGGTGCTTGAGAACAAGCTCCCTCCAAAACCAGTTGATGGTGTGCTGAATATGCTTGGCTGACTGAAGGAAGGAGTTGTACTCTGTCCAAAAGTAGTAGTCTGTCCAAATGTAGAACTTGTCTGCCCAATTGGAGGCGTGGTAGACTGGAACAATGAAGATGGCTGGGTATTACCAAAAGTCAAGCCAGAACCAAATGTTGAAGTTGTTCCTGGAACAGAAGCAGACCCAAAAATTGAGGGTGATGACCCAAATGCAGATGTTGTTGATGAACCAAATAGTGATGGGGATGAACTAGTTCCAAATGTAGGGGTTGAGGGTGCTCCAAATAAAGATGGTGTAGATGATGAAGTTGTCCCAAATGGGTTTACTGTTGATGATGAGCCAAAGGGTGAAGAGCTGAATGCTGGAGTAGATGAGGTACCAAAACCTGTTTTTGGAGCAAATGGGTTAGAAGATGTTGAGGTGGAAAAAGGATTTGAAGAAGACTGTCCAAATGTGGGTGAAGCACCAAAAGGACTTGGCTGCGAAGTAGGGGAACCAAAACCAATTGCACTGGTAGGCTGAGTAGCAGGATTTGGACCACCTGAAATATCACATATTTGTGCAGAAGTATACAGAATTAGTAAAATGCACTTAATGAGAGCAAAGATAGAACATCTCAAGGTAATTCTATGACTGTAGATAAAGCATACCTTTATCCCCCAACTGATAATCCTCCCACCTCAATTCTTCATGGCTTTTATCCTTGTAGGAAGGCATAGCAGATATTGACTCCAGCTTTCCAGCAGGCTGAGTACCGGTGCCGCCATCCACCTCAGCTGTCGGGGTGTAAGGTGTAGCTCTACTTCCCCCACGTTGAGCTCCAAAAGCTGATTGTCCAAATGTGGTGCCTCCAAATGTTGGTGTCGTTGTCTGGGCTCCTGCATGTAAGTTTCAATAAATCAAAAGCCAGGTATTTATGGAACAAAGATCAAGACATAATGCATGAACCACTAAAAAGTTTTCCCTGAAGTCCCTAATACTCTGAAATAGTACGTAAATCAACCTTGACATTCCAAAGTGTTAAACAACCAATACAGGAAAAGCACTAACCAAAAGGAGAACTCTGAGCTCCAAAAGGAGATGCAGTCGTCCCAAATGGACTGCTACCAAAAGCAGAAGCTGATTGGCCAAAGGCTGGACTTGAACCAAAACTAAAGGAAGGAGTACTTGATGCACCAAAAGCAGGAGAACTTGAAGCACCAAATGCAGGGGTGCTAGAAGTCCCAAATGCAGGGGTGCTCGAAGTCCCAAATGCTCCACCAGAACCAAATGCTGTGCCTGTACTACCAAATGTTGTAGTTGTTGTACTTCCAAAAGCTGGGGTACTTGTGGCACCAAAGGCAGGGCTACTTGTAGCACCAAAGGCAGGGTTGCTTGTAGCACCAAAGGCAGGTTGACTTGATGCACCAAAAGGTGAAGAGGAACCAAATAAACTGCTCCCAAAAGCTGGTTGTGTTTGTTGAAATGTACTTCCAAATGGACTTGATTGAGTAGGAGTTGACCCAAATCCTCCAAATGCAGGCTTCTGCCCAAATATAGAAGACCCTATAGAAGAAGGAACAAGTAAAAGAATTGCCAGTCAAGAAAAACAAACAAAGTACATAAATGTATAACAAATACACAAAATGGCAACAAATAGTTTCTTCATTTGGTGAATGAAGGTAAAGAGGTTTTAATCTGATAAAAACGAATAGAAATAGATGTCAGAAAAACAAAACCAAACTAATAAATAATTGATAGAAGTTCAAATGACAAATGAAATGAATGAATATAATTAATGACGATATGTGGTTTCTTCCTTTTGGAGAACTCCACATTGTCTCAAGTTTTGCCAGCATGGCCTGCTATTGTCTCAGGATCAAAAAGTGCTATTAATAGGATAGATTTTAAAGTCAAACATGAAGATATAGTTTGTATTGATAATACTGTTTGCTGCCTTCTTGGTGTCCAAATATAAAATGCACACATTCTAATGGAGGATGTCTTGTCCTCAATTTGTACATTTTGTCATACATATTAATGTATAAAATATGTTGATGTTACATGTAATTCTCAAAAAAAAATGAAGAAAATATGCAGAAGACAACGGAGAAATGTACAACTCAGTAGTCAACCATCCAACTACAAGGGCATTGAAAACATAATATTCTACAGGGATGCAGAGTTGACCTTTTCGATAAGTGAAGGTTGACTTTATGAAATAAGATGATAGAGAAATGTACAACCTAGTGATCAACCACCCAAGTAAAAGGGAATTGCAAACAGAATATCCTACAGGGAGGTGGAGTATATCTTTTCAATAGGTAATATTCTACAGGGATGCATAGTTGATCTTTTTTCATAAGTGAAGGTTGATTTATGACTTAAGATGATAAAGAAATGTACAACATAGTGATCAACCATCCAAGTACAAGAGAATTGCAAACAGAATATCCTACAGGGAGGCAAAGTTGACCTTTTAAATAGGTAATATTAGTTGTATTAGATAAGTCGAAAGGTAAAAGTGGCATTGCATCATATCAGGCACTTCTGACCAAGTCTACAGTAAATCAGAGGCCATTCAACTTAACCAAGTAAATTTTGGTTGAAAAATGTAAGTTTTTGGCACTGTTACATGGCCACAGACATGGAAATCAGAATCTAGCATATATTTTCTGCAGTCTTGGCAAGATGAAGAGACAAGGACTCATGAACATGTCTAAACTCTAAAGAAAAGTATAAACTATTAAAGTGGTCTGTATTTTGTTGAATTCTTAACATTGTAAACCTATAGAAAAAGGTCTAAAGATTATCTTTGTTACCTAATTCCAGAAAGGCAGAATTTTTATCTGCTTTCACTGACCTTCATATAGCTAGAGACTTGGGTATTCTGCACCTAACTAATTGATGAGATTCTGCTAACACCATCAAGTGGCTAGAAAAAAAGGACAGGGACCCTTGGAGACTAGCTCTCTACCTGGATGAAACCAGAGATATCCTGAATTCTACGGTTGTAAATCAGTTTTGGATTCCTAGGGAACAAAACACAATTACAGATGGCCTAGCGAAATCTGGTGCTTTGGATTGTCTTTATAGTGCAAGCTCCCTGCTAGTGCAGTTTTTTGGCTGGCCTTTTGCTCTTCTATGTACATCATTTTATGTACTTTTCTCTTCAATGAAATTCATTATCTTTTTTCAAAAGATATAACATTTGTAGGAAAAATGGCAGTCATTTTGTACATAGCTGTTCATTTATATTGAGTAAGGAGAAAAAGAAAAATGTCACAAAGAAGTGTCCTTCAAGAATTCGTGGAGTGTTAGAGTCCATAGCTAGCATGTCTGATACAGACATTTCAACCATTTAGGAGAGTCCATGCAACATAGGACTTGGAGGGCTTCATACAATAAGGATTGGAGGTTAAAATTATGTTTTATGTACTGAGAATAATAAAAATCAATATCACAATGTCCAAATTATCAGGAAATTCATTAGCACAGTGCAGGACAGAGTAGAATCAGAACACCAATACAAATTACAGGTTAAAAAGGGTTACTTATTATCAAAAGAAATAATATAGAATATGAAAGTTCAACCATATGTCACAAATCATACTTTTTCTTTAGGATGCACCTAAGTAGGTTATAGGTAGTATCTTCATATCATACTTACCACCAAATGAAGATGAAGCACCAAATGTAGGCGTTGAACTTCCAAAAGCTGGAGACGACGAAGCACCAAATGTTGGTGTGGAAGTTAGAGGTGAAGAAGATTGAGTAGCTCCAAATACACCAGTTGATGTGCCACCAAATATGGAACTCCCTGTCTGTGAACCAAATGGTGTGGTACTACCAAAGGGTTTGGGAGAAAAAGGATTGGTGCTAGAATTGCTGGTCTGCCCAAAAATTGATTGGGATCCAAACGGGCTACTGGAAGACTGCCCAAAAGCTGTAGCAAGATAACGAATGAACATTTATCAGTTATAGCAACAAAATCCAGAAAACAACTAGAGAAAGAAAATTCTCCAAGAGCAGAAAACCATGAGAAATAACACACCAAAAGAAAGGTAAACAAGTTGCAACCATATCTATGTAGAATCATAGAAACATCCTTTTGACAGTTCTTTTGCTCGAAGATACCCACTCGATAGTTGGTTAAAACTTAAAAGTGAACTAATGCATACAACAAAATTCGGAACGCATCCAAAATCTGAATTGCCAAAAAGGGTGGCGAAAGATTTGTTCAAATAGATAATTTGATACCTTGCAACATCGAAACTCATAATTATAACCCAAATTCCAGAGATTAACCTAAAAACAATATCGGAACCCAAAAAAAGGATTGGTGGAGAGGAAGAAATTCACAATGTGAGACCTTGCATCAAGTAATAAATGCAGCCAATATAAGAACAAGAAATCAGAAGAAACACTAAAAGCTGTTAGATATTACTTACTAAACTATATGCAGAGGGAGAGAGAGAGTGAGAGAGAGAGCGCAAAATCTTAAAAGAATTCAAGCAATTTTTCAAATAGACGCACAGGATGAACCCGACAACAAAATGAATCGAAATGCAATAAATAAAGACTTACGGTTACTCGAACCAAACATTTTGCTTCGCGTTCTTCAATCCAAACCGACTTAGTTTCTGCAATTCGAAGACACAGCGAGAGAGAGAGAGCATGAATCAGAGAAAGTAAAACGATACGATAAGAACTGAATCTTCTGATATTTATAAGCATTCCAAGTTTCCTTGTTTCGATCGGTTAACGCGTGCTTAAATCCAACGCTAATTAAGTCATCCTACATGAAATTATTATATTTCAATCAATATAGACTTGTACCTGCTTACGCAGTCCACACGCAGTGGATCGAACGAAACCGGTTAAGGGGAAGTTGCAATAGTTTCTTATATTAGGGATTTAGGGCAGACGAATCAACCGGAAAAAAAATGGGGATTCGAGAGGGTTTAATGCAGGAAAGAAGAGACCAAGAGGGATGGGGAACGATGGATTGGTAAGAAGCCCTTGATTCTGTTTTTTATTTGTTATAATTTTATTTAATATTATTATATTATCGTATATTAAAATTTTGGAAAAATGCTGAAACCTCCTTTGAGATATCTGAATTACATAGATATACCCTAGATTTTCTAAACCGACTCTGACAACCGATGAGATGGGACCCTCCGTTAGTTTTCGTTACTTACTCGTAATGTTTGAATTCTTTTAAAAGTGCGGATCTCCTATGTCCTACAGACAACTTATTCTACCCACACCTATCCACGTGATATATAGCAGCCACACATGAGGAATATCTCACGTTTTTACATATTATTATGCATGGGAGATGTTTCAAATGCAACGGAGGTAGTGCTGTGGAGTTTACATCTTCGCCCCATAGCACATTCTCGCCGTGTATTGAGAGCATCTCTCGATGACGACATCATCAGTTCTAGTACATCATGGGGAAATGCTCCCATGGAGGGATGTGCTGTGGGGCATTGTGGGGCGACGATGTGGTCTCACTGCTGTGTGGGTAGAGTTCTTGTGTGTAGGAGAGCTGGTGTCGTCCTCACGTTATTACATTATGTGAGTGATTTGTCAATAAAATAGACATGAAATACAGAAAACTACATCTCTTATTGTGCATATATTAAAATGGAATGTGCAAGGTGGCACTTTCCTGTTTTATGGTTATTTTTTATAACCATTTATCTTTTTTTTCTGGTTGTTTTTAGAAGCATTTATCTTATTTCTAATTTATTTGAATTTTTTATTTTAAAATTAAACAAAATAACCCAAAGTGGCTAATAAGTTCTAAAACTTTTAGCTCCTCTCATTAACTCACTATTAACTCATTTAATTATATATTCTCATTATTTATGTCATTAGCTCACTTATTCAATAACTCATGCCATTAATTCTTTCCTCTTTATTACTCTATTAAATTGCCTAAAATTCAATATCAAATGATGATGATGATGGTAGTCAACAACCAAATGACCTTATTGGTTGAACCATTAACCTATTTAACAAGAAAAATAGAATATGATTAAGACATTAATTCATTTTTTCTTTGTATTTTAGCCATTTCTATCTTTACTAACAATAATTCTTATTTTTCAAACATATTTTTGTTTAATATGAAGAATATATAATATTAATGCATGTTCAAATTTTTTATAAAATTTATAAAAAATTCTATATTTTTATTTTTTATTATTTAATGTACGAGATAATAAAAATTACATATTCACCAAGAAGAAATGCAATTCCAATATATTGGTTTTTAATATTGTGGTCAAATCAATTATATATATATATATATATATATATATATCATTTATATATAATATATATGTTATTTATTATATATATGTTATTCATATTGCATTTCTGTAAACTTCTTATATGATTAAAATAGTTGAAAAAATACTTATATTTTTGTTTTTCTTTGTTTCAATTATTATATTTTCTTTTCCTTTTAATAATTTATTATTATTTTTAAATTAAATTGGGTTGTATCAGATTTAGATATCCAACATATTGATCAAATTCAGATTTGTATCAATATTTATGAGATCCAATTAGATCTTTGGATCGAATTGAATTCAAATATACCTTGATTCAAATCCGATCCAATCTATTTGCATCCCTACCAAACCACTTGCCTACAATGACCTATCTAATTAAATCATTAAACCATTTGACACGGTTAGTGGGGTCATGTGTAAGACATTAATGCTCTTTATTTTTGTCCTATTTCTATCATTAATGAAAATAATTTTTATTACACACTTTTTTATACGATGAATATATAGTATTATATATTGTATCCATAATTATCTACAAATTTTTACATTTTCTATAATTTTATGTATTTTATTATTTAATAATAACATCATGTGTTGAACTATTTGACATTGATAGTTGAACCACTAACCCACTACTTGGATGGAAAAACTATTTTTTCTTTTTCGGTTGATTTTAAACCATGTATTACATTTTCATCATCAATAAAATTAATTATTATTTTTGCATGTGGCAGTACCAAATGATGGTGATGATAATAATCAATAATCAAAGGACCTTACTGGTTGAACCATTAACCTATTTAACCAAGAAAATGGGCTATGATTAAGACATTAATTCATTTTTTTCTTTGTATTTTAGTCATTTCTATCTTTACTAACAATAATTCTCATTTTTCAAACATATTTTTTTTAATATGAAGAATATATAATATTAATGTATGTTTAAATTATTTACAAAATTTATAAAAATATTCTATATTTTTATTTTTTATTTATTTAATTTATGAGATAATAAAAATTATTTATTTACCAAGAGGAAATGAAATTCCAATATATTGTTTGAACATTGGTTTTTAATATTGTGGTCAAATCAATTATTTATATATATAGTGTATATATATTATTTATATATAGTATATATGTTATTTATTATTTATTTATAAATATGTTATTTATATTGCATTTTTGCAAACTTTTTATATGATGGAAATAGTTGAAAAAATACATATTTTTTGTTTTTTATTTCAACTGTTTTCTTTTTCTTTTTCTTTTTCTTTTTCTTTTAATAATTTATTACTTTTTTTAAAAATTAAATCGGATCGTATCAAATTCGAATATCTGACATCTTGACCGAACTCGGATTCGAATCAATATTTTTGATATCTGGTTGAATCTTTGGATTAGATGATATTTGAATATACCCTAATTCAAATCTGATCTGATTTGTTTGCATCCCTACCAAACCACTTGACTACGATGACCTAGCAAATTAAATTATTGAATCATTTGACATGGTTAGTCGGGTCATGTGTTAAACATTAATGTTTTTTTTTATTTTTTATCCCATTTCTATAATTAATGGAAATAATTCTCATTAATCACACTTTTTTATTTGATGAACATATAATATTATAGAATATACCCAAAATTATCGACAAATTTCTACATTTTCTATAATTTTATGTATTTTATTATTTAATAATAACATCCATTTGGCATGGATAGTTTAACAACTAACCCATCACTTCGATGGAAAACCACCTTGCTTTTTAGGTTGATTTTAAACCATATATTCCATTTTCATCATAGATAAAAGTAATTCTTGTTTTCACATTTTTTTTTGTTTAATATGGTGAATATATAACAATGTAATTGTAATACAAAGCTTATATTTTTCTTTGAGTTTATATATGTATGGATGTATTTATGTATATATTTAATATCCGTTACTTAGTTATGACATCATAAATTGACCCATTTGACCCGAAATGTTAGATCATTGACCTACCTACCTTCTAGATATGAAAATGGTTTCATTTTCAACCTGGTTTTAAATTTTGCATTTCATTTATATCATTGATAAAATAATTATTATTTATCATACTTATTTTGTTTATATTATTAGTATATAATTGATGAGGGCGGATTTTGCCCTCCAATGACATTGTGACACATGGCACCTCAGAACAACTAGGTGACACCCGGAACCACTTTGGCAACATCTTGCCTTAGCCAAGTTGATGGTGTCCCACCACAGGCGCGGCCTGGCACAGGCGCAACCTGGTGGCCTGGCCCTGGCACGACCTGGCCCTAGCGCGAGTTGGCAACCTAGCACAGGCACGAGCTGACAACCTAGCACAGGCGCGACCTGGTTGCCTAGCACAGGCACCGACCTAGCGGCCTGGCCCAGGCGTGACCTGGCGACCTAGCGACCTGGCGGCCTGGCACAGGCGCCGACTTGGCGACCTGCGAGACGTGCTCACTAACAAATTCGGCATGCATATCCTAACACTCCCACGATCCTTGGAAATTGGCCCACGTGTCGAACGATCTGGAGGATGGTCAACGTGCACGGCGGTTACCTCCAAGAATCTCGAACCACTTAGATGACCTCGCAGAAATCTCGGATATGGTGCGTGTAGCCCACGCCAAACAATGCCTATATAAAGGCACCAACCTCAATGGAAAGCGAGCAAGCAAGCAAATAAGCAAATTCTAGCTCTCATACTGTGTGATTTTTAGCTCGCAGTCTACTATGAGAGTACTGACTTAAGCATCTGAGTGACCTCGCCGGGTTAGCCACCCCGAGTCCTCTGACATTTGGTTCCTTGCAGGTCTCTAAAGAGCAACGAAGCTCATCAATTCAGCTCGCCACCAGGCAGCTCGGCCCTCTAGTCAACTCGGCCCCCTGGTCAGCCCAACACCTCACAGGCAGCTCACCACCTGGTCAGCTCAGCACTATAGTCAGCTCGCCACCTAGCCTGCCCAGCTTAACTCAGCTCGGCAGCCAAAGTTCTCCACTTCGGCCTGAGTCATCAGCCACTTGGAAGCAGACCAAATGATGAGGTACTTAGCCAAAAGATCGATACATCAATAAAAATTGATTCATCAATTGGCGCCGTCTGTGAGAAACGCTACAAAAAGCTAAGTTCTCATCCTCCGAAAGGCTAAGTCCTCTTCTTCCAGAAAGCTAAGTTCTCACCTTTTAGAAACTAAAAGCTTTCACTTTTTAGTTTCCATTTTTTATGAACTCAAAGACTATGCAGGAAGTTGATGGCCAACAGACTAAGCAGCTTTACCAACTTTATTTCAACTCGGATAAAGCCTCATCAGTCCTCTTTGCGAGGTACCCTCTACAAAGATGAGCTCTTCATGGCTTTCGCGGGAGTAGGCGGCCAGCACTGCATGGACGCCCTGAAAGGGATGGTAGAATCCACCGTATGGACGCCAAAAGGTTGCGGAATGGGTGGGCGAATTTCAAAAATTTTCTACCTACCTTCCAATTGGGAATCGCATTCCCTATTTTAGAATCAAGATTCAAGGATCCTACTAGAACCAAAACTAAACCAGATCTGAACCAAAAGAAAAAGGGAGAGAATATACCTGATCCAGAGAAATAATATCTCCCAAAGTTGGTGTTCATGCCCAAAGAAGACACCAAGATTTGATCCTGCTGAAGATGACACAACAACTATGGAATAGAACCAACA